GAAATCCAGGTTTCTTTCTCAGATGAGCAGGTGATATAATTTCAGTAGATGAAAAAGGCAGTAGGAGAAGCTAGTTTGGGAGTAGAGTTAGTGAGTTTAGTTTTCTCTCTGTTGACTCTGAGGTGTCTACAAACCATTGGTTCAAATTTTATTTCAGTTGACTATCAGCTACGTGCCAGGTCAGATGCTGATAGATGCTGATGGGACCACAAGGGACCACAAACTGGTTAAGTAGATAAAGCCAACATAGCATGTCACAGTAGTGATGGATGGTATCCATACTGCTTCTGGGGCTCACAAGAGGGGAACCTAATCTGGCACCACTGCAGGGATGGGTCCAGGGATAGGACAGAGTGGGGAGGGCAGGTGTCTTAGTCTGTTTGGGCTGCTAAAACAAAATACCACATACTGGGTGGATTATAAACAACAGAAATTTATTTTTTATAGTTCTGGAATTTGGAAGTCTGAGATGAAGGTTCCAACATAATTAAGGGCTTTCTTCTGGTCAAAGACATGCTGTTGTATCCTCACCTGGCAGAAGGGGTGAGGGAGCTGTCTGGGGGCTCTCTATAAGAGCACTAATCCTGTTCATAGGAGCTCTGCCCTCATGATTTGATCACCCCAATAGCCCCACCTCCTATGTCTTATCACTTTGGAGGAGAGGTTTTAACATATGGATTTTGAGGGGATGCAAATATTCCGATCATAACAATAGGGTAGAATTAGAGGAACAGGGGGCAGAAGGTGGTACAGGCATTCAAGGTAGAGGGCACCATAGGACACAGGCATTGAGGGCAAGAACATTATGGTGGTCACAACAAGGACTTCACTATGGCCACAGGGTAAACTTCAAGGAGGAAGTGGCATGAGACAGAGCTGGAGCAGGTTCAAGGCCAGATTACAGAGGATGTGTTTTGTCACAGTTCATTCTGTGCCGTAGACACTGGAGCATGGATTGAGGAGGACAGAAGCAACAACAGCAAGGATAGGCAGGAAGCTGTCACAATAATCGAGGAGAGAAATGAGAAAGGATGAAATCCTGAACCTAGGCAAGGAGGGGAATAATTTGAGAATTTGTAGGAAGTGAAATTCAATTAGTTTGCTGGGTGTGGGTGTTAGGAGTAAGGGAGAGAAAGGGGGAAGAGTCAGGTGTGCCTCAGAGATTTCTGGCCTGGATGATGGGGTTGGGAATGGTGCTGATTGGGGAAAATGAAGATAAGATAAAAGCAAAGCCTATCAGAGAAGGGAGACATCGAAGGCCACTGCCTTTTCCCACCACAAAATTCCCAGAAATACAATTTAGTGGGAAGTAATTGTAAGGAGATGCAAAGCGATGTTGCAGAAAATATTCCCCACAGCCCATGGTTGGGAGATGGGGGAGGGGATGATATGACCATTAAAATACTTTGCATTACAAAAAGAAAGTTAATAGCTGTGATACTGCCCTGGGCAAATGGAGTTCGTGACTTTAAGAGCATTCAGTGACTCTTGACTTAGCTGTAGAGTCTACAGTGTCTGAGCCAGGGGCAGGGAGGTGGAGTCTCCCCTGTCATGGGGTACTCTTGTCCTAACTAAAGATGACAGCAGAAAGAAGGTAGAAGATATGGGGGAACTGGCAAAAGTGGTCCACGGTAGGAGGTGTCGGGTATGAGGTAAGGTAGGAAGCTCTAGGTTAGCATTTAAAATAATGGCGGGCTGAGAGATAAGACCTGGTCTACCACAGGGTTTTGAGGAAGCAACAAGCAGCCATGCCTGTCTGTAGTGAAAAGGGCAGCCATGTGAGAGAGATTCTGTCCTGCTGTTGGTAGTGAGGAAGGAGGTACTTCTGCTTCTGTGAGAATTCTGCCATGAGGGCTGAAAGAGTAAGGAGGCAGCCATGCGGGCTGAGGAAAGGGTGAAAGGAGAAAGCTGACAGTGCTGTGTGGGCATCCGGAAAAGCTGATGGGGATGGGAATGGGGGCAATGAGCTGAACCAAGCACAGATTCATGGGAGATGCCTGGATTGCTGAACTGTGACCAGGGAATGCTGACTTTTGCTCTCTGAAGGACATATGGAAAGGCCACTCTTTTAGGATGGGTGCCTTCCTGGACTTCACCACGATCCAGTATAATATGGCACATGTTTTCCTGGACTACTACATGGAGGCTGAGGACAATGTACCCCAGATCCTGAAGGAGAGAGTTGCTACAGGAGGATGGAGACTTTGAAACCCACCACTGTACTTTCCAGAGGGGATGGAAACCTGTTTGTGCAGCCAGCTTAAGAACAGATAAGGATATGGGGAACTTCTGGCTTTGGTGGTTTCAGTTTATAACCTGGTGGAGAGCAAGAGACGTGCTGGCTCTCGTGGGAGAGCAGGGCTCTGAGCAGGAGAGCTTCAATCCTCAAACCCCCACCTCCTCAGGCTGGAAGCCTGTAAATAAAAATCTGTCTGCTTCAACACTAATTGTTGGGTCATACACTAAGGTGCCATGTGCATGAGTCCCGCTTTGCTTAGTTACATAATGGTTCAGGACTAAGGATATATGTATGGGTATAGGTATAGGTATAGGCATATATGTGTATACATATGTCTTCATATATGTATCTTTGTGAATATATATACATATATATATGTGTATATATGTATGCATATGCCCTTTTATTGCCCTCCATCCCAAAAGGAAAGTTAATTTTTAGTTTCACAACCACTATTCAAGGAAAATTGGGAATTGAACAGCAGGGTTTGAGCAAGAGGATTTGAAGCATACAGGCTGTGTGAAGCTTCAGTGGCAGATGCCTATGGATCTCTTATAGAAAGACTATGGAACTAGCTGATGTGGCTCAGTGGACTGAGTGCTGCTCTGCAAATTAAAGGTTGCTGATTCAATTCCCAGAGTAGGGCACATGCCTAGGTTGTAGGCCAGGTCTGTGAGAGGCAACCACACATCCATGTCTCTTTCCCTCTTTCTCCCTCCTTTCCCCTCTCTAAAAATAAATAAATAAAATCTTAAAAAACAGAAAAAGAAAGACTGTGATAGGAGGTGGCCATGAGATGTAAGTGCACGAATGACAAAGATAGGCTGGAGAAGTTGACTCTGAGTTCGGAACTGGAGAAGCAGCAGAAAAAGGCCATAGGCCTCTGAGTGGGTCTGAAGCGTACATAGGGGATGAGCCTGAGACTTTCTAGAGGCCTCAGAATTAGAGCAACATAGCATACTAGGCCATAGCATGGAAAAATGGTTGACTTGAAACTTGAAACTACTCTGGAATTGAATGTTATTTAGTTTTTATTTTACTTGGACTGAACTTTCTCATAATTCAAGTTTGTTTTGTCTCTATGGCTCTTTTCTGTGTCCTGGGATGCATTGAATCAGAAGGCTAGAGAAGGAGGGTCATCCTAGGGATGTGGCCTGAGGAAGAAAAAAATGTTTTTTTCCAGATCTCTGATTGCCATTAATCTTCAAAAGAAGCCTGAGTTTGAGGAGAGCCTGAATAGTCTAATATGAAAACCATGTCTTCTCCCAGAACTTCCCCCTTCCTGTCAAACCTCAGTTCATATTTTTTGAAGGGTCTTTTCTTTTTTATGTATGATCTTTAATAATATGTCATTTTCCCAGAGCCATCATTTTATTTGTTTAATTCATTTTGGAATGCCTGTATCCACAGCATTGGTAATAGTATGAGTGTTGGCCCTTCATTGTCCTGAAGGCATGTAAAATTGAGAACTGGGACTTGGGTGGGTCAAGGGTATTGTTACTCAAAGGCATGCTTTGTTTTGTTTTATTGGAGAATTTGCATTCTTTTCCACATAGGGAAGAGCTGAGCTGGCTAAAGTACTTTTTAAATTTAAAAAAAAATTTTATTGAATTTATTGGGGTGACATTCATTTGCAAAACTATACAGGTTCCAAGTCCACAGCTCAACAAAACATCATCTGCACACTGCATTGTGTGCCCATCACTCCAAGCAAAGTTTTTTTCTATCCCCATTTTCTACCCCATTTGCACACCTCCAGTTCCATTAAAGATTTAAATTGTATTAGAATGAAGTTGAATCAAGTACTTTGTATTTCTTATCCATTCTTTTCAATGTATTTGTATTCTTTTATTGATTTTTTATTTTTTAACTTTATTTTTACAGGTGTCCTCATTTCCCCCCGCTTTGCCCACCTCCACCCAGGCCCCGCACCCACTTCCCACTGGCCATCACCACACTGTTGTCTGTGTCTCTGACTTATCCATCTATGTTCTTTAGCTAATTGGCTTGAGTACTTTTAATGAGAAAATGTAAGGAAACAAATTTTCTTCCCAAACTTTATTATTACAAATTGTTTTTCTTACAAGTGTTTAACAGAGCAGAGAATTAGACTTGCTATCTCTTGTGAAACTTGAACAATTTAAAAAATTAAATTAACAAACATGAAAGTAGGTACAGTCTTTTTTCTCCCCAGCTATGTCATGCTCTTCTAAGAGACAAAGAGGAGAAAATCCTGTGCCCCTATGTAGTACCAACTGAGAAATTTTCAGCTGCCATTTCTTCCTATGTGGAATTTCCCTGGGCAGAACAGACAATTGCACTATTTCACCTTTTTTGTAAAGGTTTCAGAAACATAAATAGATTCATAAATAGCTCATATAAATATAGGTTTTACCTTTTAAATAATAAAATTCTTAAGTCTGAAATACTGCCTTTTTAAAAAAATACAAAATAAGGCATATAACTCATTAAAATGGCACCTTACACCCCTAAGTTATCTCAGGGCCTATTAAATACATAAATAACTTAAAGCCCTTAGGAAAGCAATTAAGAAGCAAATTGGTATTCAGTGTAAACCTTCCTCCACAATGCAGAAAGGGAAGGGTGATTCAGATTCAATTTCTGAACCAAAGTGTTACCTCTGAAACTTCAGTTGAGTGAACTCACTTAAGAACCCCAGTGAATTTGGTCAGAAATTGGGCTGGGTCTACTCCCCAGAAAGCCTAACTCATCTGGGGAACTGGGGTCAGAGCAGAAATGCTTAAGCCAGATGGTGGACAATGGGGATGACACAGGTGCAGCCCACTTTGACCAGCATCTTCTCCAGCCTGAAGGAGTGGGGGCAGTTCTGAGAGTCCCTGCGCAAGACCAGGATCTCTTGCTCGATGGAGACGGAGTTCAGGTGGTAGTTGGTCTTCCTATCAGCGTCGACACAGTGCAAGTCACGGCACTCTGCCTCCCAGATCACAGGGGGATATCTCTCAGGGTCCTTATTGGGGCTACAGGGGGAGACAAAAGCCAGGAAGAAAGTGAATTCTGGATAAAGCAGGAAGGAAATCAAATAGCAATAATTGAAAGGAGACAAAGTTACAGGGTGACAAAGTGTAGGCATTGCAAATTCTCTAAGGACTGTTACTCTGAAAAAGAAGTAGTTTCAGGAAAACTTGATTTTTAAGCACATGAAATATTATAGAAAAAAGACAATGATCAATTTTTCCCAATTTCTCTGAAGAATGAACAAAATAAAATAGACTGAGGCTGCAGAAGGGACTTAAGTTTGACATAGAGGATCCTTTTGTTAGGGTACATTTGATAGATGGATAAATACCAAGGGAATCATCTAGGAATATGATAGTTGTTAATGGGAGTTAATGAAGTCTGTCTTTGAAACATGGAATGTATTGAAATGTTATCTGACGACACATTCCAGGAACAGAACCCAGAGCTGATATGTACAGCTGGAAGCAAAAGCTTAAGCCCCTCTATAACCCTCTCTTCCTTCTGTCCTCCAGCTGAGTGAATGATTTGCTTTGAGTTTGGATTTAACTCTTCTTAGTAATGGGAAGAGGAGAAGGAACAACAATCAAGTGAATATGTAGATGCCACATAATTGAGGCTTATTTGCATGAAATCAAGTTATCAAAATACACTTATTATTTAATTTCTTATGGGATCTAAGTACTAGATTTATTAAGGACACGGCAAATAGAGGTCTGCTGGGGATCAAAACTAACTGAAAAAGGGTAGAGATACCCAACATGATACTTCTACCTTCACTGGGATTCAAACAACAGACTTGGGTATCATAGATATAAGAATGATGATTGCCATTAATCTGAGTGGGTTTTTGGTGTCAGTGACAATGAGATCTAACAGGATAGGTATTGGGGGTGGGGATGTCCTGTGCTCTATCAAATAAGTTCATAGAATGAAGGTTTGAGAATCATTATTTTGCACAATGGCCTTTCCAGTTTTGACTAATGATTCTGAGTGAGTAAAATTTTCCTCAACGTGATTTAACTGGCAGTCTGATGCATACAAGATAGAAGAATAGACAGATTTTATCTGGGGCTTTTACGTACCGGAGACTCCAAGGTGAGGTGGATCGGTTGTGATAATCTTTTATCCTACCCTTCTTTTCGTTAAGGATATCGAGGTTGACCGTCACACTCTGAGGGAAGTTCTTGTCCTCAGTATTTGGGCATACTGGATTTCGTGGCATTGCTGTTCCTGCCTTCAGTATAGCCACCAGAATCAGTAGCTGCAGCAGTGACTGGAACTGAATGGGAAAGGAGAGAGAATGGGAGATTAAATTAGCATGTGGTTTTTGCTAGCAAATTGTGACAGTGGTTGTATTGTTAATTACAGAGAACACACTATGTTCTAGGACAATCTATTCTAAATTCTCTGATCAGTTAATAAAAACCTGGTTACATGACCAAAATAATGTTAAGGCCATGGAGTTTCACCAGCCTTGAGCATTCATCTTTTGATTTAGGAAAGGCACCTTATTCATTTGGCTGGCAGTAATTTTAGTAAAAATGACAAGTCATCGTCCTGTCAGTACATGCATCACTGCCAGGTCATTGATAATATTGACCTTGACTTTCTAGGAGGAAATGTCTTCTTGCACCATTGTTCTCTACCTTAGCATACTGTGAAACCCTATGTGAAAGCAAATGTGCGCTTGAGAAAGGGCCATAGGGAATCCAAGTGGTATCAGTATTTGTGCTAGAAATGCTGTTGGTACCACTGGCAAACATTTCAACCCCAAACTGGATCCCCCTTATGTTTTCTAGGTATATTTTACAGTTTTCTTAATTTACATACACTGATTCTATAATCAAACTCCATTTCAAAAAATATATTTATAAAATATAAAAACCTTTTATTCTAAACCACAGTAATACTGCATCTGATGAGAATAAATGGGTGTGGCATACCAAGACTATGGTATAATAATAGGATAATGGAAATAAAAGCTATTGACACACAATTTATTAAATCCTCAAGGGCCATGACCCATCTTATTATGGATTAAAGACAAATGCTGTGGGAGAATTATATTAAATCACTTATACTCAGAAAAGTAGATTTTCAGCAAACATTCTTTCTTAGTGCATAGCATTATGTGATTCTTTTGTGTGGTTTAGCCCCAGTATAAGCTCTCTTTCCGTTTTAATCTCATTTCTCAAACTGATGTGTATCAGTTCTTGAAAATGCTACACAATAAATATCTACCAAAGCTTTCATTTCCTATTCTACATGATCAGAATTCTAAGATCTCCATAGTCAGAATCCAGAATTTCATGCCCACCTTCCAGAAGTATTATCTGGTCCAATTCAACAAGAGCAACGCATATTATCGTACAGGACTCACCATGGAGAGTGTTCTCTCAGGAGCCATTGCAGTTTCTGTAGATTCACTGGAGATGGATGAGCTTGTGTCGGCTGTGAGATGGACAAAGGGTTATGCTATCTTCACTCTTTATATAGGACTTTGCGCCTTCTGTGGTCACTTACGTTGGCGTATTGGAGTAGGTTTAGGGGTGACACCATTTTGGTTAAAAGTTCCATCCCTAAATGAGGTCAGAGAAAAACCTCCCCTTCATAGAGAGTAATACCTGCTTGATTTCTTGAAGGAAACTGGGAAGGACAGAAATTTATGTTTCTAAAGACTCTTTCCTCTTTTCATTCTTCAAAGATTACTTGCCGGAAGCTGAGCAAAGATGCTCTACTTGTAAGCTGATATCATTTATTTATGGTCATGTATGAAGTTGCCATAAGAACTCTGCTTTATTTTAATGGCTCATGGGATAATAAAAATTTGACATAACATTAAAGTCTTCAGGTGCCATGAACCTTGATTTCCCATTTAATAATTCCTTTCTTCATCGTATTTCCTAACCAGATGTTGTGGAGGTCATTACAGAAACTACTCAAAATCTCACCACATAAACAAACAAAAAAGGAATAAATAATATAAGGATGATAGGATATATAATTTTATTGACACCTGCTTTGTTGAATGTTTGTTCTGCTAAGGAATAATAACTGGGTTAAAGAGACATGCAATTTACTATTAAAGGCATATATAATGAAACTTGTTAACACATGCAATTCTTCAGGAGGAATGAGATGCAATTGGAGGGAGGAGATGTAGACTGACAATAGAAGGAATTGGAAAAATAGACAGAGACTGGAGAATGGTGATAGAAGAAGAGGAAGAGAGGGCAATGAAGAGCAGAGACTGATAAGCACAAGAAGAGAGAGGAGGAATGAGGGAGGATAAGAAGGAAAGAGAGAAGGATATGGTTTTTCCTTCCTTTTCTGTTCACTCTCTGAGATGAATTTTGATTTCGGGTCCTTAAGAAAAGCTTCTCCTAAGAAACAATGAAGACCAGCACAAGGATGATAGAGATGAGCACTGAGTGGATACAGATGTGGTTGGCAATGTGTTACCCTCTCTCTGCCCTTTTCACCCAGGGAGGTGAACATGACTCCAGGTCCTCTTAGCTGGTATGTATATATTACTCATGAGGCTGGTATCTCATATAATTCAGGCAGCCTCACTAGCAGTTCTAACTCAACAATTGAAGTGTATAAGAAGTTTGCTGACTCTTGGGCTTGTTTGTCCTGAGAGGTATTCTTTCTTGCCCTGATCTATCTGTATCTCAGAGAACTGACCCTTCAAGTTGCTTTCTCAGACTCCCTGGTCAGCAGGCTTTTAGCTGTGTTTAGCCAGAGGAATATTTAGCCCCAGGGCAGGAGAGTGAGAATGGAGGGAAGGAAGGGGAGGGGGAGAACAGGGTCTCCTCACTGTTTCCTGGTACATCGCTTGCTCCTTTTGTGTTACCACCCTTGGGACGGTAGTAGCCTCTTGCTGATGCCAACCTCAATCACCATGGTAACAAGTTCCTTGCATGAAATTTACTGTGTAGCAAATGTCTGAAGTGACTTCTGTTTTACAGGCTAGATAGATCCTGATGGATCAGTGAGGGAGGCCATGAGCAGCCTAATCTCAGGGGGATGGTGCATGATCTTGATGGCAAAGCAGATTCAGATAGAAGAGAAAGTAAAATGCAGCCCCTCATGATTTCCCTAGTTCTTGTGTTGACATCACTGTCTACCCTTTAAGAGATAAGAGTCACCATGAACTCTCATGTCCTTTTTTCTACATATGATCAAGCAACTGTCTTAGAAGTTGCTGTGTCTCTTACATCTGTTACTTATTTCTAGACCTACGGCCACTCCTCTAGCTTATACTGTCATTCACTTGTGCTGTTTTAATAGCCACCTTTGCTTTTCTCATTTGCTGCCTTCTACCCACCTTCAACATTCCTGCAACAATAATTCTCAAAGCATGGCTTTGATTGTGCCTTTTCTTGTCCCATTAGTTTGTGTAAAGAACAAAATGCAAAACTGTTAGCATTAGAATTGGTATTTGTGTCACTCTTTGAGATCTGCTACCTTTCTAGCTTCACCTCCTAGTATGATCCATGGATTTATGGGTCCTGATTGTCCTCCTTCTAATTCCCATACAACTTTTGTTAAGGTGCTGTCTCTGAAATGCTCTTCCCCATCCTCAGTTTATCAAAATGCTACTTGTTCTTTCAAATCCTATTTAAATGTGTCTTTTATGTCTGTAAGTCTCTCCTGGTTATTCTAGTTTAAATGAATGGTTCCCATAACATGTAGCTTATACCTACCACTCTAGTAAATTTTGCTTCATTTTGTATTGTGTTTTACTTGGCTGGACAAAGTATGTTTAAGATATATATCTATTTCCCCTTTTAGATTTTACTGCAGTACTTCAAAGCCAGTGTGTTACTCATCTTTGTACCTTCCATGGTGCCAATGTCAAGCTTTATACAATAAGGGTTTTTAGAGATTGCTTTTGTGTTGCTAATTTCTCTCTGATATACAAATGTTCCTGCATATTTCTAGTGTATTGCATGTCATTTGTTTACATGTCTGATTTTCTTTTGCTAGACTGTGAGCTACCTGGAGACAGGTAGCCATCTTATTAGTCTTTGTATCATCTAACATACTGTCTAATAAATAGTAAATGCTCAATATTTTTATTGATTGACAGTATGAGTAATGTTATTTGAGTAGTTCAGAGTCTTAAATATTGATTTTGGGACCCAATTGCATTCTGATGACTATATTGAGTTGTGTAATGTCTTGACTCTCCATCCTGATACTTTTGAAAATAGTGTGACAAGGTTCTGGCCTATTTTGGACCACCTGCAGTGGAGAAAAGTGTTCCTTGCTTGTTCTTTCTGGCAAGGATGAGGTGGAGGAGAAAGTGCTGCCAGTTCTTTTGGTTGATGGTCAAGGAGGAAAAGCTGACTGTAGCTGATCTGCCTATGCTTGCCTCCTGTGTCAGTGAAATCCAGCCTATGTGCTATTCTTTGAAATATCAACCCTTGCTTTAAAATAAGAATGGGGAAACAAGGTGGGTTTTCAAGAACGTATAAAAATGATAAGATTGAAGTGGTGGTTGAAGTTGGCTGTGATCAGCCTTGAGTAGGACTAGATTCCCAGATGCACACTTGAGATGGAAACCTGTGCCTCTTGGAAGAACAGTCAGAAGCAGAAAGAGGGTGTAGAGAGTGGGGTGGGGCCCTTCCTCTGAATCTGTCTACAGAGGCAGCTGGCTCAGGTTAGGATCCCAGTCTGCTGAGAAAGAAGGAATGTTGGACTAAGAATTAGGGTGTCTAGAACACTGGATAAGAGGGCATTTTTGTTTTCATTGTAGACCTGCCATTAACTACTTATGACCTTGGGTGCTTCATGTCTTTGAGGCTCAGTTTCCCTCTTTATAAAACGAGTTCTTGATTTTTGTCAATTCCAGTCGAGATAGTTAAGTAGGTGGAAACCACACTTACCTTCTCCCATGATCACTTCAAAATTACAATTAAATTCTAGAACAATCACCTTGGAGAACCATATGAAGACTAGATGAACAGAAGTTCTATCATGAAGGATATAAAGAAGAAGCCACATGGAGACTGGTAGGAGGTGCAGAGATGCTAATTGTGCTAGATCTGCATCCGCATATGGTTGTTGAGAATTGGGAAGGATATCTCAGATGCTGAGGACCCACCTGAGGAGTGAGGGGTCGCAGTCCACATCAGGCTCCACACAGTGGAGCACTAGTACTGGGAAATGGTGTCCTCAAAACATCTGGCTGTAGAAATCAGCGGGGATTCCATCAGTCTGGGTGAGATGAAAGGCTGCTGGAAACCAAAAGGTCCGCTTAAAGGACCTATGCACAGACTCACTGGCTCACAGGCATGCACCCTGAGCTCCAGTGAAGGGACAGCAGCTGAGGGAGGAGGGTTGCCAGAGACACACAGGGAGAAAATGAGTTGTGTATCTTCAGGGCAAGGGCTGAAGAGACAGTTGTCATTGTTTCTATGTTAAGCCTTCCTCCATCACAGCAGGCTCACAATGTAACAAATAAAGAGTTCAAAACACTGGTTATAAGGATGCTCAAGGAACTTAGGAAAAAAGAGAGTAACTCAGTGAGAACTTCAACACAGAGACAGTAAGCATTAAAAGGGACATAGAAATCATCAAAAAGAGCCAGTCAGAAATAAAGTATACAATAACTGAGGTGGAAAATACACTAGAAGGAATCAGTGACAGATTAGATGAAACAGAGGTTAAACCAGTGGTTTGGAAAGCAAAGTAGCAGAAAACATTTAATCAGAACAGCATAAAGAAAAGAGAATTTTTAAAATGGGAATAGTTTAAGGGATCTCTGGGATAATATAAATCATAACAACATTTGCATCATAGGGGTACCAGAAGGAGAATAGAAAGCAAGGGATTGAGAATCTATTTGCAGAAATAATGACTGAAAACTTCTTTAACCTGGTGAAGGAAAAGGATATACAAGTCCAAGATGTGTGGAGAGTCCCAAACAATATGAACCCCAAAGAGGCCCACACCAAAACATGTCATAATTAATATGGCAAAGGTTAAAAAGGAAGTAAAAGCAGCAAAGAGAGGCTGTTATTTACCTACAAGGGAGCTTCTACAAGACTGTCAGCTGAATTTTCAAAAGGAACATTTCAGGTGAGAAGTGATGAACACAGAATTCTCAAAGTAATGCAAAGCAAGGACCTACAACCAAGACTACTCTATCTAGCAAAGCTATCATTGAAAACTGAAAAGCTTCCCAGACAAGAAAGTACTAAAGTAGCTCATCAACATTAAACCAGTATTATGGAAATGTTAAAGGACTTTTTAAAGAAGAAGAACAAAAAAGGATCATAAATGTGTATAATAAATGACAATAACTATGTGCCTATCTTCAATCAGTTTAAATGTAAATGGATTAAATGTTCCAATGAAAAGAAATAGGGAAGCTGAATGATCCACATATATGCTGTA